GAGGGTTGGTCTCGGCGGCGGCGTCGGCTGCTGCTGGCCCGGAAGGTGGTGGTGGTGGTGGTGGTGGTGGTGGTGATGGTGTAGAGGCGGGGCGGCAGGAGAGGGACTGGTCGGCTCAGGAGCGACAGGTGTGTGTGTATGTGTGTGTTTTATTTTTTTCATTATTATTATTTATTATTTTTAGCACCGACCGCGCTAACTGGCCGACCAATGAAAAGACGTCAGTCTCAGTGCGGGTGAAAACAAAGAACACTTCTAAATGCCGTCAACTGGGACCCCCGTGAGGGGGCGGCATGGGGGAGACTAGCCTATTCTCCGGATCAAAGACAGGAACGGCAGCAACAGAAGAAAAACTGCACATGTCTACGAAGGCTGCTGCTGCCTTGTGTGTGTGTGTATGTTTATGTTTGGAATTTGAGTCGACCGCGCTGCATCCTGCTGACCAAGGAAAAGACGTCGGTGCTGTGGTGGAAGATAAAAAGACGGAACAGTTTCTAATCGAAGGGTACGGGTTCAACCGTCAGGTGTATGTGTGTTTCGTGTTTTTTTTGCTGAGTTTGCGCCGACCGCGCTGCATCCGGCTGGCCAATGACAGACGTCGTCAGTCTTGCACCCGGCTAACAAGACGCGAACATTATTTCTTGTCATGGGGTTCTAGCGACAGGGTGTGTGTGCTTGTGAGAGTGTTTTTTGGGGGACGGGGAATTTGCATCGACGGCGCTACAGTATCCGGCTGATCAACAAAAAGACGCTGCTCTTGTACCGGGATAAAGAACGCGAAAAACTCTTTCTAAATCAAAAGGTTTTCATCATCAAGGCGTGGGTCTGTGCGAGTCTTGTATGTCTGAAGTCTTTATTATTGGCGTAGGCCGCCGCTACATGTAGCCGCGCGCGTGTGGTTTTGCGCGGGGGGGTGTCACTTATTTTTTTGAGTAGCATCGACAGCGCCAACTGCCGCAGGACAAACGTCGGTCTTTGTTCAGAGCGACCAAACGCGCCTGTGTTTGTAGTGGCTACTTGGCTACCTTGTGCCGCCGCCCTCGGGTTGCCTAGACGATTCGGACATAATCAAAAGTGTCAAAAAACCTGCTGTGCTGTCGTGTGAGGAAATAATGTTTCCCTGCTCCAACTGTTGCAGCCGAAAGGACTGGCAACACCGCAGAGATGTTGTTCAGTGTATGACCACGTGTCGGCGGTCGTGGGTCCAGAAAGAGAGAGAGAGAGAGAGAGAGAGAGAGAGAGAGAGGGAAAAACAGGGCGATCGGTTGATGTAGACACCTCCGAGCGAGCGGTAGACGTAAATAGACGTCGATGATGAATTCGATTTATGTGAAGGGCTCTTGTACCTGGATGCTTCTCATGGCTGCAGTCGAGGCTGACGATCTACAGGGCCGCCGGTTGATGTGGACATCGAGTGGTAGACGTTAATGGTCGTCGATGAAATTGCTCTATGTAAGAAGAGCTGAACCGCAGGGCGGTTAAGACACCTCCGAGCGGCAGACCCTAGCAGCCGTGGATGAAATCGCTTTACGTGAAGGACTCTTGTATTTTGATGCTGCCCATGGCTGTGGAGGCTGAACAAAGTTGTTTCTTCTCGCCCCCCCCCCCCGCCCCCTCCGCCTCGCGTTTCCGCGACCGTGCTGTCCTTACTAGGCCGCGTTTGACGCGCAGGCGCGCCTCGAGCGGCAACTAGCGGAATCGCAGGCGAGGTGCGCGGAGCTGCAGGAAGCCGAGCGCAAGGCCTCCGCGGCCGCCGCCGCCGCCGCTGCCGCCAGACTCGAGGTATGCATGCAGCAAGCACACCTCTCGGAGCATGTGCAAACACCACGGAACACGATGCGCTTGTACAATCTACCGGCGTGTAGTTGTCGTGGGTTTGCCACCGACTGGTCTGCATGCTGCTAACGTGTGTGCTTGTACAGACTGCCAATATAGTTGTATGTGTGTCACTGACTCGAGGTGGTATGCATGCTCAAACTCCTCGGAACATGTATGATTGTGCGATTTTATGTACCTGTGTGTAGGTGTTGTGGGTTTGCATTTTTTTTTTATTGGCCCAACAGAGATTTGATTGAAAGCCGCGCCGTCACTTTGATCTCTCTCTCTCTCTCTCTCTCTCTCTCTCTCGGTCTCTCTCTCTGTCTGTCGACAACGAAACCCCCCGTTGTTGCAGGCGGCCGAGCACGTGGCAGCGGCGGCGGCGATGGCCTTCGGCAACGACGACGGCAGCGGCCGCCCCAGGAGCATGGAGCGGCTCCTGAAGGCGGCGGAGGCGGCGGCGGCGGCGGCGGCGGCGAAGGAAAGGGAGGGCGGCGGCGCGATGGCCGGCTCTGCTGCCGCCGCCACCACCTCGGAAGATGAATCGGTCGCCGGCGACAGTCTCTCCTCCGGCGACGACGGCGGAGTCAGCGACGACGGTGGTAGCGCGATCGACGGAGACCTGGAGAGAGGGGGGAGCGTAGAGGTTTTGGCCAAGACGCCTTCTCTAAGTAACGGCGGCGGCGTCGGGTTCGAGCTTCCCGAGAAGGTTGTTCGCGCCTTCGGCGACGGCGGCGGCGCAGCCCCCCCCGGGGGCGACGGTCAAGACGTGCTCAGCAGGAGGAGGAAGAGCCGGGAGAGGGCGCGCGCGATGGGGATGCTTGCAAAGGGCAACAACAGCAACAGCCGGAACCAGGGCGGCGGCATCCAGCAGCGGGGAGAGAACCCGAACGGCGACGGCAGAGGGGGGGGCGTGGGCGCGGCGGCGGCGGTGGTGGACGGGGGCGGGGGGAGGGGTTCCGCGGACTCGCAGATGTTGCTGTCGACCCTCCTGCGGGAGGCCCAGGCAAAGGAGAAGGCCATGCTGAGGGAGATGGAGGTACGGGTGTCGCGTTGTCCCTTGTTCTTTTGTTGATTCGCGATCGTTGGTTGTTCGGCGATGGTGTACCCTGTGGTGGGTGCACAAGAACACCACAGCAGCAGCCGTTTGCCTTATTTTGTCTGTCTGCGGCGACCCGCCGAGGTTGACCCTCCCCCCTCCCCCCCCCCCCCCCCCCCGGGGGTAGCCCTTGGTGGGGTG